AGTAATAATAATAATACTAATACAGTAGATAGTAGTTAATTTTACATAATTACTATATTATTAAATTCGAACCTTTAGACTAGTTAAGGTCTATAATTATAAAGTATTTTATATATTTTTACTTGTCAACATTAATTTATACATACCACGTTGTTACGTACCACGTTAAATTATAAACTGAAAAAATTATTACACTCAGTATGCCAATGGTGACACCACTGACACGATATGGAGCATATAGTTGACAAATTTTTGAAAAAGACGGGATGCAACAATGACCGCAGTTATGTCACAAAATGTCTAGTATGTTTTACCTATTGTGAGTTAGCCATCACTCTGTTCTTTGTCGTGTCGACTTACATATCGATCGTCCACTCAAAGGAAGATCTATCAGTTCGCTTCTATGGACTACTATGCTTCTTTATCGAATGTCACATTTTTGTTTTTATAGCCATTCGGTTATACCATCAGTCACAATTTTGCGATTTGTTTACGCTAAAAGTGAGAATTCCAGAAAATTTAAAACAGAAAATCGTAATGATAATCAAACATCACATTATCACATCAAACATTTTCGTAGCAGTATCCATGTTGTACACAATTTCAACTGATAGGGTGCAGATAGGCGATCCATTCACGTTCCCTTTCATAGACGTGTTGCCGATAAAAACGACAAACTTGACTATTTATCTATGCAAATATATACTATACGCTTTGCTCGTATACATTGCACACTTTGAAATTTGTTTCTTGAATGTGACGTTTATGTATTCGACGGGCGTTGTGAATAGATATTTTCAAATACTCGTCGAAGAAGTCGAAGGATCAGTAATAAACAAGGATGAACAGAAATTAAAGATCGCGATCAAACGCCATCAAGAGGTGTTGAAGTGAGTTGTGTTCAATGCACGATTAGTTTTTTAGATATATTTAATAACATATAAGTATAACTTAAAGTTTCTGCAGGACAAAGAAAAATATTTAAAATGGATTTAACTATCTTGTTTATCCAAATTAGCCATCTAATAATTACGGTTTCGTAATAACATACGAGTATCAGGCGATCTTCACATTATCATAAATATTTAAACATACTCGTTTTTAGTAATGACTTGTGAATTTATCCCTATTAATACCTATAATAACTATAATCTATAATAATCATACAAATAATATTTCTCACAAACACTAAAGAGTAAAATAGTGACTAAAACAAAACAAGCGTTTAGTATTTAAAACTAATGCTATCTATTTATTGTATTTTTAGATATTTCGTTGATATAAAGACGGTACATGAAAAATCAATATTGTTGACGATAGAAATTTGTGGAGTGTATATTGGTCTGACTACTTACTTCAGTATTTTAGTCATACAGGTGTGTAGTAGTAATATATTTAATTAATTTTATTAATAGTTCAAAAATATTCTATAACAATGTGATTAGCATTCAAAAATTTTTAATCATTTCACATTTTATAGAATTTTATAAAAATTGGTATCCTATGAATTTTCTATGCACATATTAATTTTTTATTCAATTCTTGTACCAAAAATAAAAATAATATTCTAGATTGAAAAAATGATTAAATCTTTTGTAAGAATATAATGTTATATATTATAATATAGTTATTATTAACATAGCTATATAATTACAATAAAATATATAAAGTTAAAATTATTTATTATGCTTAAATTATTTTTAGGGTTATATTCACCAAATAATATTGGGATTATGTATAATTAGTAGTTTGGCATTTGTCATAGCAATTATAATTTATTGCGTTTATACAAGTAATATGTATTATTTAGTAAGTATTTATATACGTATTATACTTATATGTATAATTGTTTAATTTACAGTATAATATTGCATATGGTAAACACTCATTTCCTCGAAAAATACTAATGTTTTTGAAAATATTTTTTTTGAAAAATTTTAAGTCAATAAATAAATATCAACTTTAAAAAATAATAATAAAAAATAACTATTTTTTACTTATTAAAAGAAAGGCGATAAAATACGTATAATAAAAAGTATTGTTATATGATGACTTAAAATTGTGTATCAAACTAATATTTCCATAAACCTTTATAAACTCGTTATACGTTTATACATTTTTCTTAAAAACGATTGTTTTCTTTGTACTTATACACCATTATATTACATACATAATTGTTTTAACTTCTTAGCACGATGGTTTATTGAACGCACTTTATGAACCCAGTTCATGTTATTCTCGAAACAACTCATTTAACCGTCTTATTTTAATAATGATGACAAGAGCCAAAATACCATTAGAATTTAAAGCTGGTTCCGTTTTCACCATAAACTTAAATCTACTTGTCAAAGTAAGCAGTGTAATTATTTATCTATTTTAAATGTTATTATCAAGGTTTAATTAATGTAAGTGATTCCAAAATTTGTTTGAATTACTTAAAATTTTTCAGTTGTTGTTTTTTTTTTTTTTTTTTTTTGAAAAAACATAAATTATCATAAGTTATAATAAGTATACATTTGTATTTATTTCAGATTTTAAAAAGTGCATATACGGTATTTAATGTATTATTAACTTTAGCCAATCAATAATTTAAAGAAACTGCAATATGAAAACAAATTATATATATATATATATATATATATATATATATATAAAGTAATTTTTAGTGATTAAAGTGATAAAATATTTTTAATTTATAATTATGAGATATTTTTTAAACTAAATTTTGTTTGAATTTTTTTTTTGTTCTGATCTTTTTAATGAAAATGTTTATTAGTTATTTTCATTCTATTTGTTTATTTCAAATCTTAAAATGTTTTTGCACATGCTGTTTTTAACGCACCTCACTACGATCATTCAATAAAATATCACAATCTAAATGCTTTACTTAAAACTTTTTACATGTCAAATTATAAATATGGTCAAAAATATTTAGGATGACTAAATTGTATTCTTTTTAATTTATACATAAATAATTATAGGTACATAACAATGATATAGTCGATACTTAAAATCTAACTACGCCATGAAAAATACATCTAGTGATTTACTAGATTCACTTTTATACATAGGTCGTTTATGTTTATGTATTAATTTTAATTGTTTTTCCAGTTTTTCACTATCAAAAGCATAAATTATTACCAGTAATATCTTAAACAAATAAATATAAATTCACTAACAAACAAGACATAGCAGGTATTATAATAATAATACAGCATTGTGGATAGGCTATTTCAATACGCCACTGTCGTCTATAAATTTACCCATTATCTTAAAAATATAATTAGTTAATCTATCAAAGTTTGAGATGAATAAGAAAGTATAAGATTACTAATTTATAGTATACATATATGCTTATAACTTATACGAATAAGCATATAAAGTTTTAGGCTACTACTGAAACTACTGAAAATAAAATATATTAGTAACTATTATTAATTTTTATTTTAAATATCAAAATTTTAAAATAAAATATTTATTTTTTATTAAAATATATGTGAAGTTATACAAGCACGTAATATCTCTAATACTATAACATATTAACGCATTTTTCATGATGCACAATCAGTAAGTAATATGGGTATGAAGTAAATAGTATAGTAATAACTGGATTTTATAATTATAAACTTTTTCTCAAAAACATTTTTTTTTTAAACATACTGCTTCAAAGATGGCGAATTGAATTACATTAGCATAATTCTTTAGACTTTAGACTATTATTACTTGTAATAATTATTGGCATGTATAAATAAAAAATAAATAGTAGGTCACAATTATAAAACTATTACGTGAGTATGAATATTTGATTAACTCGTTTTTTTAACAAAAAAAGAAATCTCAAAATCAAAAAATGTTATTTTTACCAACTGTATTAAAATGTTATCCTTATTTAGATATATTTTAAGTCATATATCTTTAGTATTATTACCTATCAACCTATCATAATAAAATCTAAATCTTATTTCTGTAAAACTATAAAAATAGAAGGATGTAAACAAATTATTAATGTCCAAAAAACATCTAGTTTAAAGACATATTTGATATTATACAATTTATATCATAAGTATACTAATATTAAACTACTAAAGTAAAATCCTTAAAATGCTTTATAATTCGTATACAAATATAACAACTAAATTATTAGTAAAAATTAACTATTGTTTATAATATATCAATACGTATAAAATGTTTTTGACTTGATTAAATTGCAATTTCGGTAATAAACAATTATTGAGACATATCTAATAAAATATTTCAAACCTTTTTAATTTACTTATTTGTTGTCGTTGTACATAATATACTATGGATATACATTAATTTTATTGTAAATAAATTGTAAATATTATGTTCAAACTTACTCAAAGCCTCGGTATCTTACTGAAATGTGTTAATATGATAAGTATTTTGACGAATTTGTTACTTTGTAAGGCATGCATATTACATTTATATTTGAATGAACAGCTCGACGTTTCTATAATGTTTCTACGTCTCTCTTCGTGTATAAATATAATGATAATTTTGATCGTGCTCCAATCTAGTTTAGGAATATTTTTTCTTCTTACCGACGTTTCTACACTAAAATTTACATTAACAACAACAAAATTTTAAAAAAAATTATGTAATCTATAGTAATAATATTACTGGTATAGTATAGGTACCACCTACGTACTACCTACTGTCGAACAAAATAAATTTTTTCTTCGCATCAGACCGATGAAATGGTGTAAATTGACATACCTCGGATATCTGCAGTAACTGCGTCAGGCTATAATGCTGGTACGTATATTATAGAATACTGTATTATATAGTGCAACACCACTGGGATGAAGGTCGTCTAAAAGACCAAATTATAAATACTACTTTTTTTTTTTATCATACATAATTATGTTATACGTATTAAGTATATTCACCTCGACCTGCATTTCGTCACCAGCCGGTTCCACCGCAGCACTCACAAATTACTATATTAATATTTTTTCTTCGACTGTCACGTTTGGATATTCTATACGGCACACAGTTCGACAATCGACGCTACGTGTCGCGCACATCAGCAGCCAATATAATTGTTTAAAATATACTTAGTCGAATTTTGTTCGGCCGCACAGTGACCGTTCTTGTCTTGCACCATTTAGTGTATGAAATGCAAGCTCGTGGGTTTCACCAACGTTTTAAAAACACATAACTAATTTTATGATAATAATTGTTTTCTCCAATTTTAATCGTCGAGTTTCTAACTTACATGTTTTAAACACATTCCTACAGCGACAAACGGCAAAATCCAAAGACCACCGCTACCGTATAATTACTGTTCAAAATCCAACGTAAATAAGATATAGGTAATATACATCTGATCAACTAAGTTTAATCATATTAAACTAAAAAAATATTATAGTTATTGTAAATTCTGTTCTAAAAGAGACTTTAAATTAATTGTAAGAAAATTATGTCACAAAATAAAAGAGTACTTAATATAAAATTATTTCTTAGTAACTAAAATATACGTTATATTTGTTGATAATAAATAATACGTTAGTCATTGTAACTTGAATTTTAATCAAAAAAAAATTAAAACAAATTATCACTTATTATATTTCCAACTTTCAAAAAATAAAATATCTCCAATCAATATAATAACTTACATTGTTTATGTATTTTTATAAAGTAATAATTCCTAAATAAACTATTGAATAAGTAATATAAAACTATTTTTCCCTTTCTGCTTATATTTCAAAATTTCAAAAATATACCCATACAAGCTATTAACTCGTAAATTCTCGTTATATCAAGATTATTTAATATACACAATTATTAATATAGCTAATCGGATTCTCAAAATAATTTTAATAGGTACTCGTAAATATAATAATGATCGTTGTATAGATTAAACTTTTAAGATATATTACTATTACATTATTACAATATTATACGTGTGTAAGTTACTAGTAATTTTGTCCTGTGCAATCATATATGATATATTTATATGTAATGTTCTGTAGAAATGTGTACGATATTTAAATTAAATAAAAACAAATTTAAAAATTGTACTAAAAAAAAATTTAATTTATACTTATTTGATTAAAATTATGGTATTATAAATAAGTATTAAATAAAACTAGTAATTCTATATACAATGTAGGTATCTTGAATATGTCATTGTGCGTTAAAATTTTTGATGATTATGAATCGATTTCATGAAATTTCAAAAAAACATAAAAAAAACTTTATTTTTTTATTTTTTTTACTGACAATTTTATTACAAGTAAAACTTATTTTATAAAAATGTTGATCAAATTATCAATTTTTATTCGCGTATATGTTAACTACAGTCTTTTAAAGTAAATTTATTAATAACTTTAATAAAAATAATTAAAATAAATTTAGTTTTCTTGGCCTAAATATAAAAAAATACTCAAAAAAACTCCTAAGTTATTTAGACGTATATGAAAGCAGGATACACGTCAATTTATCGTAAACAATTAACCGCAAGCCAATTGATCGCGATTACAATTTCCACACGGCAATTGATCGAAAAAAAACATTTTCAGTAATAATTTTTAATTTGAATAAATTTGGCACAACTTTACTCTAGTTACATGTATAGTTAAAAATATATTTTTTTCATCTTAGATTGAAAATGTTTAAAAAAATGTTGTTAGGTATATAAAAATGAAGCAAATTAAACTTACAATTTAAAGTTATAATATTCAATATTTTTTTATATAAATAGATAAAATTTGTACATTTAAATGAATATAAAAAAAATAATAATAAATCATAAAAGTAGGTATATAATAATTAAAAACACTAAAATATATTAAACTTGCAATTGAAAATTATATGCAATGCCACGAAGAAATTCTTCAATATTTGTATTAATATATAATTGGTACAAATTATTTTTATTGCAACTGCTCTATCTCATTAATTTTTTTTTTTTTTTTGGGGGGGGGGGCTGATAAATAGGGTACGAGTATAATGTTTATAAAACTTGATCGTTAACGATCGAATAATGTTACGAAAAAATACTATTTGCCTTAAAATAACCCTGAAATTACCTACAAGTATATAACTATGTTTGCGATCAACTATAATTTTAAATTGTAAGTTTAATTTGTTTCATTTTTATATATTATACAACATTTTTTAAACATTTTTAATCTAAAATGAAAAAATATATTTTTAACCATACATGTAACTAGAGTTGTGCCAAATTTATTCAAAATAAAAATTATTACTGAAAATATTATTTTTCGATCAATTGTCGTGCGGTAAATTGTAATTGCGATCAATTGTTTGCGGTCAATTGCTTACGATGAATTGACGATACACCATGAAAGCAAAATATTAAATGCTTAGATTTTAAATAATAATTTTTTCTTTAATATCTATGATTAAATATAATTTTCGTATCTTATTTATTTTATATACTGTGAGTAGAAAATGCTCATTAGTGAAAGATTAAAAATTATGATTGTGTAGAGTGTACTTATCTCATATTATATGACATATATGCAATATTCTAAGATTTAAAATCATTTACTTAAAAGATATCCATTTTATTCCGATAAGTCTATAACTAGGAATTTAGTACATTTACAAATTGACCATCAAGATTTAATATTGAAAAAAAATACTACTCATTCCTTCAACAGATCCAATTATCGGAAACGATATAAAATATTATGTTAATGGTTGTCATTCTATATTCCGCCTTAATATTCTTTATGCGGATTAAATAAAAGTTGATTACGCAGTGAAAATAAAAACTTGAATAAATCTTTTTCGATTATTAGTATACATATCGAAGTAGTAAAATGAATTTAATTTGATGAGTTGGTAAAAGTTCGAAGATTTTACACGATATAATATGTTAACAATTTTAATAACGCTAGTACAACATTGTACCGTACTGCCATAGTCATTAACTACAGTATGTATCTACTAACTAACCTACAACTGATTATTGACCCGATTCAATATAATATGATCTATACACAATATGTACAAACAAATTATACTTCAGATAATTATTATAAACCAATATTATAGCATTGAATACTTCTAACAGGTGGGTCTATCATTATACGTAAAATATTCGTTTTCGACATCTCACATAATGCCGTGTCAGAAATTTGCACGGTATAACAATAATATTAATATTACAAAAACACGTGTTCGACACAATATTTGCTATTGAAAAAAAAATAAAAACCTGTTTTATTGATCAATGTAATCTAAACTTTTCAATAATTGTATATCACAGCATAATAAGATACATAATATTAGATACACGATAATAATATTGTAATGCAGTTAAAGCAGGTAAACGTACGCGTTTACGAAATATTATCCTATTAGTATGTATTGCAAAATCTTATAATTTTAAATATATTTACCTAAATTTATATACAGTGTAAGTTCTATTTAATGAACTTGATAATTTTATTCATTTAAACAAATTAGTTAAATAGAAATTTTATTTAAAAAAAAAAAATGGAATTTTTTTCACTTAAAATACTAATTTTTAGTGTACGAAATTTATACAAATATTAATATTTAATATGTATGTATAATATCACTAAATTTAAAAAATCAAAAATATTAATATCATAAATAAAAAAATTCATTTAAATTATATTAAGTATGTAAATTTTATTTATTTATTTTTTGTTATCGAAGAACTTTTTGATATCCTTTTTTATAAAAATGATAACAATTTATTGATAAATGATAAGTGTGTACTTTATACATAATATATAATAATTCAATACTTTTCAAATTTGTGGTAGAAAAATTTGTTGAGTAATAAATTAATAACAGCTATTAATATTATAGTAAGTAATATAATATTGTATATTATATAAAATTTGTTTTTGATAAAAATATGTTTACTTACCTCAGGTTAGGTGGTAGAAGTTATTACTAGAGCTCGGATTTTTATGATTTTACATGTTTTTTTCACGCAACCAGAATTATACCAGAGTATAATATAATGTCGATTCATGAAATCTAAATTACAAAATAGATATTAAAACATGTTTTGCATATTTGAAATTGTTGAGCTTTTAAATGCATACATTGATTACTTCTTGGTTTAATAGCTACAGTGGTGTTAACTGGAAAAAATCTAGGGGGAGGGGGTAAATAATTTATTTACTATGATCAAAACCCTGACCCCCTCCCAGTTTAAATATATTTTCATTGTATGTACTGTATACAGTAAACCTAATTGTTAGATTTTACACAAGTCTTAAAACTTATTTTATGATTTAAATGAACACAAATTGCAGTTAGTAGGTACTAGGAGGTATCTATATATTTATTTTCTAAACAATTAATAATAACCACTACTAATTAAATGACTTTATTCATTAAACAAAATTTAGAAAACATTCAATTAATACTTAAACATCGTCAGTTTTTAGAAAGATATTTTATTTCACATTTGAAATTTAATAAAAATATTAGTTATTATTAAAAAATATTATAAGATCACTGAAAAATCACTTAAATAAAAAAATTAATATTCCTTACAAATTAAAAAAGAAAGTTAGACAATTATTGTAGACATTTAAATAAACCACAACTACTTAAATTTTAACATAATATTATATCTTAAAACTTAAAAAAATTATCTTAAATATCTAATTAATGGGTCTCTCTGAAAACTAGTGTGAATATATAGTTGTCGATCTCATATATTATAATTTATAACAATAATATTAGTATGAGATCTCCAAACTAATATAGATGGTTCATAGACAATAACTTATTAATTGGAACAATATTTAACACATTAACTCCAATAGCTGTCATAAATAATTAAGATGTCCAAACTTCCACTTAGTAGAGCCTAAACGTTATTATATAGAAATTTCAAAAATCTTAGTTTGTGCGCCACAGATTTTAACGTAATTTTTTTATCATGTAACTTCTAAGACATCAGGTTGAAATAATTATACATAATTACTTTTTTATTTTCATCTTACCTTCTTTTGGTGTTTTTAGGCCAAGGATTTACAAATTGGATTCGTATTTAATTTCCCAAATGTAAAATTGTCGCAATCGTCATAGTAGTCTAAAATAAACATAATTTATTAAAATAAAAAATAATAATTTCACGTGATATTTTTCTAACAAATACTCATATTAAACCTACTACAATAAATTTTAATGCGGGAATTTTGTAATTTTTAAACTATTGTCAAGTTTCTATCCAATTCAGGGCCGTCCGTTGAAACACAACTAAAAAGAAAATTGTTTTGTGTAATTACTCCATTCGTTTTCAATATTATAAAAAATAATAAATAGATATATAGTAGTATATTAGGGCATAGACCAGTTGCGCCTAAAAAAATATTTGTACTTTAGGTCAAAATACCAATTGCACCGCTTAAATTTTATGTCAGTACACCAATTGCGCTACTTATATTTTAGGTTTCTTATTTTACATGGACATATGTAAGTTCCTACACGGCGGAAAAAGTTACATACATATGTATATAAACAATTAAATATAGCTATTAGCTAACTAATATACATTCAAATATACTTAATTTAAAGCAAAACGTATACGAAATTAAGGAAAATACAACAAGCTACAAGCTGATAATAGAACCTATCCCAACTCGACGTAAGGCGAAATATAAAATATCTTATTTATTATTATTAATGAACATATTATAAAGTATGAATTTGAGTGATAGACTATAACGATGACGACTATGACGTTATTGACGTGTATCTATGTGTATGATTTTTTAATAGATTTATATTGTACAAATATTATTAATATTGACGTTCATTTTATAATTTTTTGTATTGACTAAAAAAATGTATTTTTAATACATACTTTTATAAAAGTATTTTTATATACTAGGTGTAATGTAGAATAATATTATAAACCCTGAAAACAACTGAGCGCAATTAGTCTATCTATCCAAAAAAGACAGAGCGCAATTGGTATATTAAAAGGTCATTTTAAGCGCAATTTATTGGTAAACTCTAGTATATCATATAGTCACTAAACTATATTTGATGCTTATATTATTTCGGGACGATAATAACCCATTTCACCCACCTAGGTATGAGCTATTTTTGTGCTAGTATTTAAATTTTATTATTATAAAATAATGTTAAATATATTCTAAACAAAGCTTGGTGAATAAATATGCACTTCACAGTAAAATAACTTTAGAAAAAATAACATTTTTTTTTTAGAAATAATAAAATTGAACAATAACATATTATAAATTCAGCAAGATTGTAAATAGTTTAAAATTGTGTGCATATAATAAATATTAATAAAATATCTACTTAGCTTTATTCAAAATATTCACATTTTTGTTCAAATAAACTTCTATTCGTCTGATATATGTACTCGTTTAGGCGTGCGCACGGTATAAGCTGTTTGAGCCTTAACATTTTTTAAGAGCACATTCCAATAAATACTCATAGGTCACTCTACCAATTAACAAAAATTATAGTTATTACGCATTTATAAATATTCACAGTTTTTAATTAACCATAAGAAATTGTACTAAAAATAATTTAGGAATACTCTCTAAGTATTTGAGCACTAATCAGAGTTGCATGCATTACATGTTATCAAATTTTAAATGATGAGTTAAGATTTTTTAAATCTTGTATCGAAAAAAAATAATAATAATAATAATAATGTTTTTAGTATAAGGGCGTGTTATAAAATTAATTTTATCCAAAAACATCAATTATTCAAACCTAAAATCACTTATTTTAATTAAAATAATATAAAAATATTATTTTTAGTTATACAATTAATATAATTATTACGCTATTTATCATTTAAGAATTAAACTACTATATAAAAAAAAACAATATTTGACTATAACGTCTGAACTATAAACTATCATTAATTTTGAATTTCTATATTGGATTACTAAAAGTTACAATTACTTATTTTTTTTTTTTTTTAAACTTTACTTCTTTAAATAAAAAATAATTATTGAATCAGATTTTAACTCGAATTTCTTCATTTTTCACTATTTTCAAGAAAACTATAATTTGAAATTCCTAAATTTAATACCTTATAGCATACCATATTTTCTTTAATTTTTATCTTTAATAAGTGATCATTATGAAACCCTTGTAATAATTACTTTATCTATAAATATTAATAATTTAATATCATTATCAGTTGTAGCTCTATAAAACTATAAAAAAAAAAAAACATAAAATAAAACAAGAAAACATTACAAACCTGATGTTATGTTTTCGTTTTGACCCCTTTTACAGTTGTGCGTGTTCATTTATAATAATATTATAGGTATATTATTAAATACATTATTTTATAAATTTATGTAGGAATACGAAATTCTTCGCACACTTCGCATATTATTATACGTATACGTGTGTATCATACTGGATACGATAGCACACGTTTAACTGTAAATCAAGCCTATTAAATATAATCAATTTTAAAACTTTCTTATTTTGTACATAAAATAAAAACACGCATGATTTTCATTGATAAGTTGATATGGGATAGCGATCAATGTATTTTCTTTAATTATAATTATATTAGGTATCTAAACTATCTAACCTACAATAACAGAAAATCAAAAATTATATACATTAAACCGTTAAAAATTTAGAACTGTGCGATTTATGTATATATAACATCATCTGAAGTATATACCAAAAAAAATGTCAATATAAATTAACCATACTTAGCTGACAGAAAAATGTTTTACTTATTTATTTATACAACTTTTTATTTATCTAGCTTATCAAGAGACAAAGTTTCTATTTTAAGATTAAGATATTCAAATGATTTATATGGGAATTTATTTTGTTATACCTTTCCAATGACCTGATCAAATCGAATAGAAAAGTGTCAGTACATGTGAAAATATAATGCAAATTTTTTTTAACTGTAAAACAAATTATTGTTTGTTTTTATTAATTATAAATTTAAATTCTTCCTGATTTTTATTTATTTTGTACTTAAAAATATTTCTTAACTTCATAAATTCTATTTATTTTCTACATTTTATTATTTTAATAAAATATTATTACTAAATTTCATATAACTGTTTATATTTAAAAGACAAAATATTTTATACTTTAAAAGTTAACCCTAATAAATATGTATAGTATTTATATTACGTACTTAATCATAAAAGTTTATTTTTTATAACATATTTATATAATTATATAATATTAATATATGATAAACAACCTCATATTCTTATTAATTAGAAATTATTTCACACGATAAAACACAATACGTCATCTCTAAAATGTATATAAATAGAAAAAGTTATAAGCGTGCATTCCAATATTTCATAAATGCGTAAACATTAAATTAATAAATGTTTATTTTAATAAAAAACATAATTTTACAGAATCACAGTAATCATAAAAAAAATGATTTACATATTTGTGAATATAAGTCATAAGTAGGTATAGTTATTATAGTAACACACAACAAAATATAAAATCCAACGTAAATAACTTACGTAAAACAATGATAGGCAATACGATTTAGGATGTCATACGTTTCAACGCGTCAATATACAATATTTGAATTTATTTTTCATTACGAAACACTGTAGGTAGGTAAATTTAAATTGTAAACTTCTTCGATCTACAATAACGAGAAAAACACAATACACAACATAATTATACTCTCTGTTTTTAGATTCCAACGTACAAAGTCCTGTTAGTTATACTATGTTTCCAGCGGCCGTCATAATCGTAGCCTGCTGTATGACAGTAGTACTACTCCTTTACAACTATACGACATCTACGTACAAATATTGGAAGATGAAATCGGTAACGTTTGCCACACCCGTACCACTATTCGGTAATATCAAAGACCAAGTGATGCTTAGAATGACTCAGGGCGAGTGCTTGAAAAATATTTATAAGTATGTATAATGTATAATGTATTAGACGAGACATATGCTTGGCTCTATCACTCAATTTCCTACACTCGAAGAAATTTCTATTGAAGGCTGATGATTTAATAAACTACAAATTCTATGTTACCTATATAATAATAATGAAATCCGTGTAACAGAGTTCTTTTGGAGTTTATCTCTGATTGGTAGACAATAACTTCTATTCGGAAAATCCTATAAAATTTTCTTGAATTAAATTTTAGTATTATACCTATTATCTAATGGAATAGTATCATATTAAAAAAAAAAAAAAAACATGTATAAAACAAATATACTTTACAAGAAATTAATAATTTAACATTTGACTTTCTGTATTTATTTTATAAATTTTTAAATAACAGAAATTTAGTTTTTATCTTAATTATATGCCAAAAAACCATTAATGACATAATAATATACCGTCATAAACTTAGTGAATATATTATAATGTATTCTTTCTTCTATTCTTTATAATAGTTTCAAAAAATAAAATTTTAGTAACATATGTAGAAAAAAAAATGTTATTGATTGTCCCAATCACGATAAATCGTTAGATTACTTATAAATATACCATTTTATTTGATATTTAACAGTTATATGCTAATACTACATTCGCTATATTAATATCTATACGATGTGTACTTAAAGGCTAAAACAATAGGTACAACTTTGTTTACAATATTTTGTTATGTGTTATACAGTGATTTTCCACATGAAAAGTTTGTGGGCATGTATCAATTACAAACTCCAACATTGTTGCTCCGCGACCCAGAAATCATTCGATTATTTCTGGTTAAAAACTTCACACACTTCACGGACAGAGGATTCTTGTACGATAGTCATAGGGAACCGTTGACCAAACATTTAGTCAATTTAGAAGGTGAAACATGGAAGAATCTCCGACAAAAGCTCACCCCTACATTCAGCTCTGGTAAAATCAAAAGTATGTTAGGGCTGTTACAGGGCTGCGGTGTGCAACTTATTGAATACATGGAAGTAAGTAATAATTGTGATTATAGTGTAGTTCTTATACAACTTTTTTTTTAGCAACAATAATGTTGTCTTCTGAATTTATTTTTTTTTTTTTAGAATTCACTAACAAGTAATTTAATTATTTTATAAAAAAATGAAATACATAATAACAATAACACCACCTGCTTACACTTATATTTTATAATAAACAAACCCATAATACATAATAAATTATATCAAAAATGCTCTGTATTACCTTTCATGGTTCATCTGCAGACTACCACAAATTCTGGGAAGACGGAATTTGAAATTCGTGACTTAACAGCCAAGTTCACTACAGACGTGATTGGCACATGCGCATTTGGATTAGAATGCAATTCACTGAAAGACTCGCAATCCGAATTCAGAAGAATGGGGTGTGCAGTGCTCAATTCTTCGGCGTCTTTAGCGTTGGCTAAAATAGTACGAATATTCTTTCCAAAAATTTTCAAGGCGTTAAAACTCCGCACGTTCCCAGCCGAAGTGCAACAATTCTTCATGAGCATCGTAAAGCAGACAATCGACTTCCGGAACACTAACCAAGTGCGTCGGAACGACTTTATACAGTTATTGCTTGAAATTAAAAACCAAAATCACCATCAACAAAACACGATTAATTCAATTAAACTGACTGAAGAATTGATCGCCGCTCAAGTAATTATCTACATAATTTTATAAACAATAACAAAGCTTATAATTATTGTTCCTCGTACACAAAACCGTTCAGTTAAATAAAATTCCTCTTATGTCTTTAACTCTTATTAAACATAAATACTTACATAACTATTAAAATATAAGAGACCATTTCACTGATGACTTAAAGGGTTTAAGATTACCAATACAATTTTAAGAAAACAAAAATTAAAACATATTATTTATTATTTAAATATTAATTTAAAGCATTTTAGATAATTCTATATTGATATTATTGATTACACGTGTTACAGAATAAGATAAAAAAAAAAGTATTAAGCATATTGACACAAATCGACTTTTATCTCCCCTCTCTCCATTAAAAAAAAAAAAAAATAAGAAATGAGTGGGAACTATTTACCATAATACCATAATACTGCCAACTACTATACTTCTCGTTTGATTCTATTTTATAGCTAAAACACGTTCCATCTAAAACTTAAAGCATAAAAACGTTTCGATGAAATTATATAACATAATAACATCTCTGTTAGAAAATATTTTGTACTTTTATTACAATTTTGAGTAACAAAAAAAAAAAAATTTTCTTTCCTTTTTGTAAACACATATAATTGTTTAATAACACACTATTTAAAACATATATGAATAATAACATATATTATTATATTATCTTCATATGCATATATGTATACATAACATATCATCATTTATAAAATATTATTTACTTCACATTTTATAATTTTATAGCTATATTTATATATATTCTTTAATTGAACCTATTTTTGGTTAATAGCTAACTTATTAATTAAATTATCAACTGGCATTTATGTTTTATTGATTATTACACAATTGCCAATTGATAATATTTAGAACTAACATATTTAAAACATTAATCAGGGGAAAGAGTAATTATACGAATTTGATTATCTATTTAAACATAAATTTTATCAAAAACATTTTCAGCCTCTCCTAAAATTCAACTAAATCTCCACCTACTTGTATGATGACACAGTTATATATTATAGAAAAACATACGTAAACTTGTATTTCTAAGGTATTCGTGTTCTTCTTGGCTGGTTTCGAAACGTCTTCCACGACATTGAGTTTTTGCTTGCACGAGATGGCCGTTAACCAAGATATACAAAATAAGGTATACGAAGAAATAATCAAGACAGCCGATAAGTATGGACTGCCATTCTCTTATGAAGCAATCTCGTCGATGAACTACTTAGAACAGTGTTTAAAAGGCAAGTATAATTGCGTTGCGTCCGACCATCGTTTTTACAAACCACGGGCATGCATACTGATATATCTACGTTAAAATTTATAAAAATAATTAAATTATAATTTAAATATAATTCTAGTGGCAATATATTATTAGTGGCATAATTTGGTTTTGATTGTGAGAGTGGAAAATACATATTACCCAAAATATTTTTTGATGTTGTATACATTTTGAAAACTAACACAAAGCCCCTCTTAGTATGAGGCGAATTTTGTATCGAACTACACCCATTATTTTAAAAATTATTAATGTTTTCGAAAATATTTTTTTTTTACATAATTACCAGTTTAATAAAACAACATTTTTTATTATTTTTCAATATAAATTTTAGATTCAATGTATTGATTTTATAGTGAGTTTTATTTTTATTTTATTTTTGTGGGTGAGGTTTTAAATATCAATTAGATCTAGTTTATACCTTAAAAAGATCAAACTTAAAAATGTATAGTACCTACTTATTTTTATAAACAAAAAAAAAACCAAAATAAATGAAAAATAGGAATTTTCACGTAACTCTAATTTTTGACAAAATTAATTAAGTTTTTTGATAAAACTTGAATAAAAAATAATCATAGACACTTTAAATTTCCACTAAGTGTTTATGTTATCGTTTTTTATTTACAATACAATTTTGAAAATATTTCGGCTATTTTTGAGATATTTATAAAATAAGATATTATTAATTTTTTTATTTTTATTTATTTATTTTTTTTTTTATTAATTCGATAGAAAATTATTTACTGTATAAAAATATTTGAAAATTTAATACAAAACTTCTCATAAATTATTAATTTACTAATTAAAAAATATAGAAAATTAGAACTTTGAAAAAATTCATAAAAATCACGAAAATTAGTAAATTATTTTGTAATTGAAAAATCTTAAAAATATTTGGTTTTATACCTAAAACTTAATAAAAAGTTTTTATTAGTTTTTAGCATATGTATATATAAGAAAAAATTCTACCTGAAAGTCATATTCATTTTTTATAAACAGTTCAAGTATAAATGTTAACGACATTCGGTATTTACCCGTAAAATAATTATTTTCCCAAAACTATTTTCGATATTTTATCGTATTTCAAAAAAAAAAAATAACAATATACAGGTATACTTGAAATTTTCACCAAATATTTTTATTATTCTCATTGTACGATAAAACTTTGAAAAATTTTTAATTTTTATTAGGTTTTTTTCTATGAATATCGATAAAAAATTATTCGTTAGAACAAAATTTTTGAAAAAGTAATACAAAATCCTATACAAGTTATTCATACAGATATAAATTTATAAAAAAATATAAAAATATGTAAGAAATTTTTTTTATGCATTTGAAATTAGAATTTTAACGAAATTCATCAAAATTATAAGCTACTTTGTAATTAAAAATTCATAAAAATTTTTCTTTTTGTATTTAAGTTTTGAAAATTTAATACAAGATTCTTCATGAACAATTCATACTGAAACCATAAAATTTAAAAAATGTATAATGAAAATTATTTTCAATATATTTTTTAAATAATTTCCAGTTTAAATAAAATTATTTTTTTTTTTTAATTAATGTTTTATTTAAACTAAAAAGAATATAAAAAAAAAATATTTTCAAAAACATTAATAGATTTTTAAATCATGAATGTTTTTTGTTAAAAGAATCGTTCTGTATAACTTTTACATCAATATGTGATGAATATACAATGTACTTTTGCACACACATACATATTTTTTCCAAGAGATATTTACAATATGTTTCTAGAAAAAAATAATCACATTTTATAAATAATTTTAATTTACATGAATCATTTAATAGAAATAACTACCATCCATTAATTACACAATTTATTTTGAATAACTAGTTTGAATTGGTTTCTTTTACAAATTCAAAATCTATTTGTGTTAAAATGTGGGCTATACTGCATTTCAACAAGTTCTAGTTATTAAAGTTATTTATATTTTAGTTACCCAAATATATTCTCTAAACTATATTCATAATATTAAAATTTATAAAATAATAAACAGGTCTGGCCCTGCACCCCCAACAAAAAAAACCCATATAGGTATTATCAAATTATGCATAAGGGTCTATAATAATATTTAATAATGACCATAAATTTTCGATTTTTGTATAATTTGTTTGCATTTTTTGTTCGTTTTTTCGGTCACTCCGCCATAAACACTATATCAACACCTCATATCTGATGCACGTACCTCTTTGATGCGACATGCAACCTTGGAACCTAACGACTAACCACTTAACATCATTGAATACTCCATAAACATACCTACTGTAGAAACGATGAGAAAATATCCACCAGTACAAACGTTAGTCCGCGTGTGCACCAAACAGTTCCGGATTCCCAATACAGAACTAGACCTGGACGTGGGCACAGCTGTGTTGATACCAGTGTACGCGATACATCACGACCCACAATACTATCCGGAACCAGACACGTTCAACCCTGATCGGTTCGTCAAAGACTGCAACGGTGGCGGTAGCGACAACGAGAGACCCGCTGGAGTTTATCTGCCGTTCGGCGATGGCCCGCGCATATGCATAGGTACACGTTTAATTTAATTTTAAGTATAATGACAGTTCTACAATCAAAACAAATTAGAAGATTTTAATTCAAACAAAACTTTGATTTAAATACTACACTATTTTAATTAATAGTATTTATTAATATTTCCCTAAATTAATTTTAAGAAAAAAAGCTCTTAAAAAGAAATATTAAATTTAAAAATATTATGATTTTTTTTAAACAAGAAATAACAAAAACTAAAACGTCTATTAATAGCTTAAAATGAGTCAAAATATTTTTTAAATTATGTCATGTCTAAAAAATATTCTTTTGAAAATATGAAGTACCAATAAGTTATTAATTTTTAAATTACGATAAAATAACAAAATCGATTTGTCAAAAACGGATATTGCGTACTTAACACGACTGTTCTTCCGCATTTTTTCTTTTAGCTTTTCCACATCATTTTAAGAAAAACTGAGAAAATGTAATTATTGACAGCTTAACTAAAAACCAATCGACATGCAATGTATGAATTATACTAAAAAACTTTACAATAAATAGGCACCTACTCATATTTTTAGATTCTTATTTCATATGTAATTACTACACTGTAGTATGTCAGTAGAACCACCGGATTACCGATCAAAATAAATAAATATTTTATACATTTATAAAATAACTTGTATTTAACAACAGGCCCAAATTCACTCCGCCAAAATTAAAATGCCAATTATATCCAATTTAATTCGACAGGTATGCGTTTTGCCATGTTAGAAATGAAACTGGCGTTGGCCCAGTTCTTGCATAGCTTCGTCGTGACGCTGAGCGACAAATCCTGTACACGAATCGAGTTTGAACCTGCGTCATTCCTGTCATGCCCAAAAGGCGGTATATGGTTGAACGTCAATAAACGTACACAGTGAGATCGCACCACACAGACCAAGATTTTTATATTAGATAATTTCATTAGTCTACCGACGTGTAATTTTAAATATATTCAAACGTTTATCTTTATTTTGTATAATTTCTATGCATAATAACTAATAAGTATGTATATTGATAAAAAATACTACCTACCTATTAATAATAAAGTAAAATATTATTAAATTACAGTTAACAGAATTCTTGTTTATCGGATAATAGATATACTATCGTATCACAAAATTACTGACTATGATAAAATAGTACTCTCAGTTACTTTTATGATTAATACTCCCCTATATATGAACAAATGGATGATTTTCGATAATGGATTGCGCGTCATAGTAGCATGTTGAATACTTGCATGTTTGTACCATAGTGTTACACCTCAACCATAATAATTTATGTTTGTGTCTGATAATTAACGTTTGATTTACACTCACAAATTAAAATACGAAAACAGTTTGAACGATATCATGATCGGACGACCCAACGGACAAAAAGTCTGACAAAGGTCGTAATTTCCCAAGACTAACTTACTGAGAACAGAATACAGAAAATATTACTGTTAACCACTTACGAGTATACTCATATTGAAATAACCTACAATAAACAATTCGAACTGGGGTTGTAAAATATATACCACGTTTAAACGATCAGCCCATCGGAGTTTACGCCATGATCATAACAAACTTTAAACTGCATAGGTATGTCGTTTATTTCAATATTACAATCATTACTAACGTATTGACAATTACAATGGTACGTAATACGTGTTGTAACAGTGATGAGTGACAAAGTATAGTTAATGGTTACAATTTAATATTAACATAATAAAATCAAAAATTAAACTAAAAACAAAAATATTTAAAAACATTAGTTATAAATTATAATATACAATAGTTGTGTGTATATAGATACCAACTATTATCAATGGTTATAATACTTATAAGTTTATAGTGCTCAAACTAATTATGAGTGTGAATTTGTTCTATGAATAAGAATTAAGCAGCTAAATTGTCTTTAGCAAGTAGTATATTAAGAATCCATAATTATAGTCAAAGTTTGAGACTTGTAGCGTTTTCATACATTTTTTTTCTTAAAATCAAGATTATAGAAGAGTAAAGTATAAATTAATTTCATATTAAAGTAAGTTCTGAAACAAAAATAAGTTATTAGCAATTTTTTTTTTTTATAAAGGTGTTACATTAACTTTCAATTTATGTGGCCTTATTATTTATGATCAACATCGTTTTTTAGGTACCTTTTACGATTACCACTGTCTTGCAAAATTAATTCTTGGTATTTTTATGTGATTATTATTAAATAAAATTATATTGGCTTTTTTCTAGTATTGTCAGATGATCGCGTGTTACTTTTTTTTAATGTAACGCCTGTAATAGATGCTTTTTTTTAAGAATATTTAGCTCTTTTATATAAAAGCTATTACAATATATTATTTGGTTATATTAAATCATAATATTCAAGGACATTTTTTTATATATCTCGCATATTATGTGTTATTGTATACGCGGCGATATGAATAGGCAATACAAGTACACCAATATCGTGCAATGGTCCCATTATTACACTCATATTTTTTTAGTTTCAAGAACAAAAAAAGAAGGGCTACAATTTTTTTTTTTTACAGTGTTAAAAGAAGCGAGAAACACTAATTATTACCACTTTAAACATATAACAGCGGTACATAAATAATTTGTACCACCATTACGATATTTATAATTTATTTTTAATAAATTATGTGTATATTATATATTTATATTAACTCATTAAAACGTGTGCATCATTTGTTCTGCATTTATCACGCAATTTCATTACACCTAATAGTCAACTACTTAAAATTACCTAACTAAATTCATAATGTTAAGTAATATTTCTCCCACAACAAATAAGTGTGCCAATTGCCGAAGTAGTCTCGTTTCATGGCTATATGTCATCAGTAAAATAAATATATTTTATTTACTCATTTGTATTTTAATATAGGTCAAATAATTTATATTAATACACTGAGTAAAATTAATTCATCTGTTGGAACTTGTAAATTCCTATTGTATTCTTCTGCTTTGAATTGATCCATCACTGATATACCGTAATATCAGTAAAAAAAATAAAGTTCCATATTTAATACCAGATAACGGAATACATACAATGTATATATATAGATGTTATAATTAGTGAACAACTGTCATCATTTCATACTCCATAAACACATTCATTAAATCAACAGGGCTTTACTCAAAAATAAAATTATTTTTATCATGCCTATGTTTCCATTTTTATGATTTTTTTATAAGTTGATGCTCTTTTTCCCCAGTATATTGCTATTTTCCTTGGAATGATAATAAACACTGATATATGAAATTTGTACCTATACATTTTTGACATTTTAATATTATTTAATATACTTCTGTAACAGACTAACATATTATGATTCAATAAAATATTTATAAATATTACAATGAATAAAGTAAACATACTTTTGCATAAGTCTACTATTTCAGTATTTCATTAATAGCATCATATTAATATTTATAAAATTCTTACTTATTATTTAAAATATCTTGATATATGTCATTATTTAATATTATATTTTATGAATTAGGCTTTATAAACTGATTATATGATTTGTAAAAGAAAATAAATTCTTACTACCTACATCCGCTCAAACATTCCTTTTAAATAACTTCAAACAAAATGTTCGTTAAATAATACTAATAACTCAATTTAAAATAAAATTGTTATTATTATAAATAATAATTTTCTCTAATTATTTAATAAAGTCTGCATAGAAAGTATAATTATAACACAAGTATCATTTAAATTCAAATCAAGAAACTAAATATTATGTAATAAGTATGAAATTTAAAAACAATGAGTGCTAATGTTATATTCTACAAATGATTAAGCTATGGCACCTACTATTTTTTTTTTTTTAATTAGATTTGTCAATTCATATTTCATGAAATGTAACAGTCTCTTTAATCATTAAATAAATAAATATGTAAATATAATTATTACATTAAAATATAAATAATCCAAAAGTCTGTTATTTTTTTTTACAAATTTAATATATTACATACAGTAACTCAATAATTGTTTACATGTTCATTTGTATGTAAATAAGGTGTGTCTTATACTGTATACGTATAATCAAATACATACAACACCAGATATAATTTCCAAAATAATGTATAAAATAATAAAAAAATTATATCTGTTCAGTGACATGTTTAATGCTAAAAAAGTGACACTAAAATGTGGAAAATATCAACCACACAATTATGCAGAATGTAAAACACCTGTATTATATAATTATTCTCATTTATCATAACAAATTATAATTAAGTTTCAAGTTATTATTAATATACTAAAAAATAAAAATAAAAATTGGCCGTTTTGTATACACTAACAAAAGTCCACTTATGACCACTTGATATATCTTGAAAATAATAAATAAATGATTACAATAATAATAAAAAAAAAAAAATAAAAAAAAAAAAATAAAAACAACCTGTGTTATAGATTATTCGGTTATTTTAACTATGTTTAACAATCTTTACACACAAAACTTTGCATAATTATATATTAAAACTAAATTATTTTAAATAAGTTTATATATTATATGTTTACATATATAATACAAATATAAATTTTTTTTTTTTTATTATAAATTATGCAAAAGTTATATTTAGTGAACTAAATTTAAGATAATACTGAATTCTAAGTTGCTAAGGGAGAAAGAAAAATGAATGAAATAATAAAAATTAATTGATATTAAAATATTTTTTAAATTGTAATATTTTATTTTTATTATTATTATTACTTTTTATTATTTTCTTTGACATACAACTATTATTAGTATTATACAAGATTCTGTACAAAATTGTTGTTGATTTATGTACAATTTGATTAGATACTTTAAATGTAATTATATGTACATGAACGAAAAATATAAATATGGTATTAGGTAGCAAAATTATCAGCCAACAGGCACTGCATTCAAAATACTTATATCAAAACAAAAATAATAATAATAAAATATGCAAAAATGTAATCCCTATACTTTTTACCTTAAATATGATTCTCAACACTAATAAGACATTTGAGCGCTTAGAACAAGTTGTTTGTTAAATATAGTTTACACAAAACAAATAAATAATATGTGTCAAGTCCAATTTGTCTTTACTACGTTTTGGATTAATTATAGAGAAAAAACTACCAATATGTCAAGTCTAGAAAACAAATATTGATAAAAGTAAAATAATAAAATTTGTCTTAACAAAAAAAAAAAAAAAAAAACTATAACATTATTCCAAATTTAAAATTCATTCATGAAATGAATTATTTACATGGAAGGCACACATTTACTCTTATTTACACTCATATACATACTCTAAATACATAGGATGAACAGACAAATAGAAGTTTTTAAGATAATTTCTCTCAGTATAATAAGTCATTAGTCATCGCAGTAATTAAGGTGCCAATGTTTGTTCGAATGCTGCCATCAAATCACTTTGGCGATTCATGTCAATCTGGTTCACCATCTAAATTAGAAAAAATTTATTTTATTTATACATATACAATACAATAACAAATAAATAGCATTAATATTATTTTATCCATTATACTTTAACTTATAGAGTAATAAATAATAACTTAGTTTACTAGGTATTTAAATTTTGGAATACAATTTAGGTATTAAATTCAAAAACAATGTTATTTCCATTAATCACAAAATTAATTTTATTTATCAAAAATAGGTTATAAATAAAATATTTATATACAAAAAAGTAAGTAATCATCTATTTTTTATCAGCAAAAGGCATACTTATTTTGAAACTGTTTTAATGATTTATTTTTTACAGAGAAACCTAAATGTCATGTCACAATTTAATATATTCCTACTCTAAGTTAATAGAAAACCATAATTTAGTCCTTTAAATTTTAATAAAGCACATCAAGCGAAATAGTATTTTTTAGTTTTAAAATGACTGGGGAGGGGGTTATGAAATTCATTAAGTAAAAAAAAGTAATATAATAAAATTAGTTAGTGCACAAATTTAATTCATTAAATAAATATTAAACCGCAATAATTATAAAAAATTAAGTATTCAAACCAATGAAAATAGTAAAAAAAAAACACTTACAGCTTCTCGACGTCTTCTCTCTTGTTCCCGTAATCTCTGCCTTTCACGTCCCTCAGCAGCACGGTCTTGACTGGGACTTGAACTATCATCAGTATTGCTAGAAGCTTTCACTTCATCCAATCGAGATGATTGTTGTTCAGCAACAATTTTTCTAAATAATATAATTAAAGAATGAAATAATTTTTAAATACTTAATAAATAATACAATTTACCTAGCTTTTTCAAGAGCTTCTTCTTCTTCTTTTTCTCTCCTTTTTTCATTTTCAATACGAATGCGTTCTTTTTCTGCTTGTTCTTTTTGATGACGCCTCATCTCTTGTTGTTCAATCAATGCACGTTGCTATAAAATAAATAAAAATAGTATTAACATTTAAAATAATATTTTATTTTTTCAATTAATAGTTTTAATACCTTTTTTGCATTTTCTTTTGCTTGCTTTTTAAATTGCTGAAAAGAATCAGCTGTAGATGGTTTTATTGAAGCTCCGGCTACTTGATTATTAGCATCTGTAGCAGCTTGTTGAGCTAATGAACTCCAAACATTTGTAGCAGCATTTACAACTCTTTGATCAGATAGCTATTAAAAAAAAGGTTAACTATTATATAAATAATATTAAATCGTATAAAAATATAAAGATAAAAGAAAGGGTTTTTCATACTAGCTAGTAAATATTTAATACAGTTGTCTAAATATTGATTAATTAATACATTTTACATTAATCATAAGATTTAAAGAATTTCAAGTAACTAAAAAATTATAATTTTCTACTCATATTTTTAGAAGCATAAAAAATTTTAAATTAGGCAACTGAGATTATTATAAAATGTCCTATAATGAATACATTTTAAGTAAATTTAGAATACAAGCAAAATATTAAAATTTAAATATATTATTTTAAATTACTAGTTATTTTACTATTTAATTAACTAAAAGAAATTAAAAATGTATATACATTTACTAAGAAAATAAAAAAAATATCTCTCAAACATTAATTTAATTAACTTACTAGATAAATATTTAAAATTAAAAAAGCTTAGTAAGCATGTAACAATAAATTAACTAATATGAATCACACTAATTATCTTGTGAGGTAAATACATTATTCATTAAAAATAATAAACTTAAAATAATAAAATAATAAGTGTGCATACGTGCATGATAAAAAATAATAATAAATACTTTCATAAGCAAATTGAACTAAAATAAAAAATTCAAAGCATAAAAAGAGCAAAAACTAATGTATAAAAATATATTACAATACATTTAATAAAAATATGTGCATGCCTACTTTATTACAAAACAAAATTATTTCTATCACCAAATTTACTAAAGGTTAGGTTTGCAAAAATAGTTCAGCAAGCAAAAAATGTGATAATTACATCTGCTGTGTCATAAGAAGGCCCAATATTAGGATCCCATGGGACAGGGAAAGAATGTAGATGGTGGTGGTGACGTAATGGTCCCATAAATGACGCTGGAACCTGAGGGGAGGAATCTAAATTGAACTGTGGAAATACCTGAACCCCAAAATAGTGTTAAGGTTAATAATGTGTTATTCATATGTTATGTATTCAGAATATTTCTGCCAATTTACTGTCACTAATCAATCATTTACATCTATACTATTTAGCCATCACCTTCATGTTATTTTAAGTAACACAAAAATAAATTGAGTAATAAAGTTGTTTAATTTTAATAAATAAAACAAATTGATAACCAACTAATATTAATATAAATGTATCGTAAATGATAATATTTTTTTTACAACAGTAAATCAAAATATCCTAAATACATACATGCCATATTCCAAATATATATATGTATATAAAAAAAACAAATTGACAGTATAGTAATATAAACAAAAATACTCATACTCATGAACAATATTAAATGTTTAAAAACAAAAACTTATGTTATTAGTTTCAAGTTAAAATTTATCATTTAAGCATAAATAAATGTATAAATATATAAATATACATGAATTTTCCTTAAAATAAATTTTATTATTTATTTAGCAAACTCATATTTTTGTTTGTTTTATCTTATCCAAGAGTAAAAGTTATACTTTTATTTAAATAGCATATTTTCAAAAATTACCTGATTTGTATTTTGAATAATTGGAGTGATCGGTGTTGGACGAGGTTTACTATCAACTGGAGGTTGCACCATCAATGGTGGTGTAGCTGAATGATGAACAGCAGCTACAGAATTCATGACTGGTGCTATATCGACATGCTGAACTGAAAGTCCTAAAAATATATATTTAAAAAAAAAATTATCCTCCATGAAAGAATTTATCTAATATTAAATGTTCTTATTGTCAAAAACAAATATAAATAAGATTATCCATTTGTAAAACTCATGAAATATTATAAAATGTTGAATCATATATTTCACAAAAAAATTAATGATTAAAATTGATTTATAATGTCACCTATAAACTTGAAAATTAAAAAATTAATATTACCGTCATTAACAAGAGAATTATGCATGTTAGATGTGGGTACAACTGTATGTGCAGCCTGTTTGTCAGGAACACGTAATGAATTATTATTGGTAGGCTGACTACTAGGAGGTGTAAGAGGATCAAACACTGATGTCATTGATGACAGTACTGTATTCTCATTAGGCATTGTTCCCAGAGATACAGTAGGCTGCGAGGTGGTGCTGCTAATTGGAAGTCCAGGCTCTGTTTTAACTTCAACTTTAGCTGATTGTAATAAAACTCCATTAGATGTTATATCTTGAGTTATAGATGAAGTATTTGAATCTCCATCTAAAATGATCAGTTATGTTGTTAATATTAAATAACTAAATAAATAACAAACTAACATAAATAATTCATTGAAAAAGCAATGAGAATCAAAATTTAAATTAATAAAAAAACAAATATTAAAAAATTAATTACTAGATATATTTCCATTTGTTGTAGGAAGACTTGGAACTGTAGATACAACTGGTGTTGGTTTAGAGTGAATAACAGGATTCACTTTTGAAGTATTCATAGCCATTGGATTTGTCTTAGAATTATTTATAACCATTGAATTTGTTACTACTGGAGGTTTTTTAGGTGGAACATCTAAAATTTAAATATTTATAATATGATATTCAAATATCTGTTAAATAAGAGGCAACAGTTGATAGTATTAAAGCTTAATACTAGTATAAATTACAATCTTAATATTAAAAGCAACATTCAATATAAAAATAGTTCATGCGAGATATAAAGCATAGAGTATTATTTATATACAATTTATATAGTGTCCACAAAATATAAATCAATAATTTTAATAATGTATTAAATGTTTAGGTATAAAAATTTAAATACAAATTTAAGCAAAACCACACATTCTTAGTAAAAACAAAATAATATAAAATGTATTAAATTAATTATTTTTAATTAAGTAATTCATTAATAATTTTATTTATTTCACACGATAGTGTTTATTTTGATTTATAAATTTGTATAAAAATTATAATTAAATATATGCTAATAAAGTATAAAACATGTATAAAAAAAAATAATTTAAAACCAAAAACCGAAAATATTTAATTATTTAAATAGATAATCTATAGAATAAACTATCAAGGAAATATATTTTGCAAAAATAAAGTATCTACATTAGATGTCAGAACATATATATTATAAAATGATTAAGTTTAATTATAATATTAGATAGGAACACAATTAAGTATATTGTTTGGCAATATTAAACAATGATAAAAATAAAAAATGTTGCCAAAACATGTTTGAAGATGAAATGTGGTTATTACAAAATAAATAAAAACTGAAGTCATAACCCAAGTGTGACACATACATGTGCAATATTAAATATCAACATTTAAAAAGTATATGAAAATAAAAAGAAAACTCAATAGTGCAACCAACATCCAAAAATAAAACATAATTAAAAAAAAAAAAAAGAATTAACTATTCCATAATAAAAGAAATACTGACTCTGTTGAGTGTTAACAACTGGTTTGTTGATCGAATTGACAGATGTTGAGTTTGAACCTGTTTGTTTCATAGTATTTGTCGATTTTTGGCCTTCAGCTGATTTCTATAACAGACCAAAAATCGACAGTTGAAGAAACAAAATAAATGGCACAAACAAAAGAGAAAAGAATAATACTCACGTTTATCGACACGTCGTCGGACAAACGTTTCTTCTTTTTTTGCTTGTTGCCACCTTAAAAAATTAAAATACTTGGTATTTTTTTTTTTTTTTGTTTTGTTATAAATATTATGATCTATTATAATTGTGTTATTAGAAATTAAAATATGATTGACAACAAATTAGATACTAATAACTTGAAGGACCTTTATGTCTTAAAAGTAACTAACTTAAAAAAAATGAAAATTTAAATTATTTAAAATAAATTGATAACATAATCATCAAAATAGTGAATAAAAAATATAAAATGAAAAGAAAAAATATGAACCAAGTAAATTTTACTTCATAATATACAACGACTTAAAAATGTTTTAAATTAAATTCAAAAAGCTTTTAAATTTATATATATAAAGGCCATTCAAGCTGTTGTAACATAATATTTTAATGACTGAACATTTAATTATACATATCTGCAGTACAAGTAAAAATAATATATCATATTATATACTTGAATGTAAAAAATAATCATCAATAATTAAAAATATTTAAAGGTAACATTTATCAAAAAAAAAAAAAAAATGTAGTCATTCATTAAATAAATAACATTGCTTTTATTAAAATAATTTTTATATAAAACCATCAAACTGTGTTAAGTATAAAATTTTGTTAATAAAAAGTTTTAATTTATCAAAATTCGTAATATATTGTACTACTAATACTGACTACTTGACGACATTTTATGGTCAACTGAGAAATAACTTAAATTGTTCTTAACACTTTTCATTAGTATAAACTTGCAAACTGTTTTTTTTCTTTCTATTTGAAAACTTTTAACAGTAGAAAATAATTTAAAAAATTATAATCTACTAATGTTTTTTTTTATTAAAATTCTTGTAAGACATACAAACATCAAAATAAACAAGTAACAACATAGAATATACATATGTATATATACACACCTGTATATATTTATTTATACTATGAACCATTGTTAAGGTAATAAAGATTGTAATAATATTCGACTGGATAAAACAATCAAATTTTAAAACAATAAATATTAATACCCTAATAAAAACTTAAAATATATTTATTGCCCAATTATTTGTTTATCATTATAAGATAATAAACCAGAGTGCAAATGTGAGCAAAAATTATAAATTAACAAATAAATTAAAAAATATATACATTTTATTATGTTTGTTTTGTATATTAGCCAAGTATACAAAATTAATATTTTACAAGTGTACACAATGATTTTTCATGTCAATTTTTTTATACAAAATAAAAAAGATAAAAATTTAGTCAGTTTTGAACACATTTAGGTAGTTAAGCGTAGAAAGTTAAGTAATGTGTTACTTAAAATTATAAATCTAATATGGCATCATAAATACAATAAAAAAATAATTTTAAAAAAAAGTACAAAAGAATAACATATGGACGGGTTTTCATTTAATTCAACTTACAAAATAATTGTCTTGAAAAAATATATAAAAGTTGATAGATAATTGTCTTTATGAGTTCGGGACGAAGGCTAAGAGTGCAAACAATAAAAAAAAATTACAATTGTCATAAGTATATTCAAACCATTGAGAATGTGCATTGTTTGCAATCAATAAGGGGAACTACTAAAAAAACTGACATGTTACTTAAATGATAAAAAAAATTCACCATTATTAACTTAAAAACAAATGCTCACATGTTCTGCACTCTAGCCTAATCCCTGAAATATTTTAATTTAAAATAGATCTCCAAAAATCTAGCCTTCTGGTTTTTTCAACCCTTTATCGGTTATTGCATCACCTACAAGAGACAAACAAAAATTGTTGATTTTGAAAATTTAATCTACTTAAGTTTTAAAAACAAATCACTAAGGTTCATTTTCATTCAGTACAATCACCAAATATCACATACATACACTACTCAGTATAAATTAAAGGACAATTATTTACTTAATGGCCATTAATACTTGACAACTTATGCGAGCATTGAACAATAATTTAAACAAGTTAAAATACTAAAATAAAAATATAAAAGACAACACTTTTTCATTCTTGCTACAATAAAATTGTTGATTATACAAAAAGCAGGATTTTAATAGTGAGTTACAGGAGTAAAGGTTGTAGTATATAAATTGTGACATTTAAATAAAATCTAAAAGTCATTGTCCCATTGAAAACCTTATTTAGTTAAACAGATATTTTATTTAATTATTTTCTAGTTCTATATGGAATTTTCTCAAAATAAATAGAAACATTTTTTAAGAACAAATCTTAATACACAATTTAAAAACAGAGAATAATACAAATGCATATAGAGCTTATAAATTTCCAGAAAAAAATTTTCCATAAGTAAAACAATATGAAAATTTAGCTCAAGACATAAAATCTATTAAACTTCAGAGGATGTTTCGAATTTGTTTTCTTCATCTTACAAGTGTCTAACATAATAGCAAATTACACTCAGATCAGGTTTATTTAGTTTTGTTAGTTTAAAAATTAAGAGTGAATCAGTCTACCATAAAACTTGTTAGTAAGAACATTTTTTGAGTTTGTAAATGGGTTTTTACAATAATTTAATTTTTTAAGTGAGTTATGAGCATTTATAATTTACTATATTTTACATACATGCCAAACTTACTAAAAAATTTAACTATCATAAAAACCCATATACAAATATAGATAATGTTCTTAACATGAAGTTTCATTATGGGTCGATTCACTCTAATTTTTAAACTATCAAAGTTAAATATCATCTGCTGTATGTAAATTTGCTGTTACGTATTTGTAAGACGGAGATAGCAAATGTCAGTGTAACGTCCTCTTAAATAGAACTAAACTAATTCTCAATTCTCTTTTCAAAAAGATTGAGATATAAACGTTAAACTTTTACTGATTATGAAGAATCTAGATTTCACATCTATAAAAAATTTAATAAATAATAGTTTGAAATCTTATACAAAAATTAAATATTATTGTATTAATTATTACAAAAACAACTAAATTAAAAGAAATAATTACATAAAATGTTCAAAGTATTATAAGCTCATAATTTTAAATGAGGAATATACCGTATTAGATATAACATTCCCAAAATTAATATAATAATAAAATTCACCAACATAAAAACTAAATTACTAAAAATTAAGAAAGTTATTAACCGCTGATAAAAACTAAAACTATCATGACACAGTAATAATATTTAAAATTCATGAAACAATTATAAATTATAAACATAAAACTTATTATAATTACAAATACTAAAAGCTATATAGCCGTTCACTATTCTTCTTAATTTATTATTTCAATACCAACAATTTTGTATAAGTCATTAAATTAATGTATTCTTTAATTATGTGATAAATACAGGAATTGAATAATCAAAAAATATAAATTATATTTATAATTTTAAATAAAATAAATATTTTTTTTTTTAAATACTTTGGTTTACTTTATTGAAATATGTCAATAATAGAAGTAAAATATGTAATTAAACTGATTTCAGTATTACTTGAATAAAAAACTTTTATTATTAAAACTACATAAACAACAATTAAATAATTTAAAATTATATTCAAAATTTAAGAAAAAATTCAAGTTAAATCAAAGTTCTATTAATAAAAATACAGAAAAAATGTGTGATAAAGTTTATTTATAAAACAATATTATATTAAAATATTTTTTTTTAACTTGAAAATAAATTATTTTGATTACTTAATTGATAGACACAGCACATTAAATTTACTTTACCAAAACCTTTAAATATTTAAAACATATACTTATTTATAACACTAAAATAACAATAAGATTCAAATTTTAATGTAATTTTTAAAATTATTTAAACTATAAAATATATAAAAATACAGTGGTCACTATTTTGAATTATAAGATATTGAGTTAATTTATAAAAAGAAACAACTAAAATTTAAAATACTTAAAACATATTATATACTATTTTTAATAATATATATTTTCTTAACATGATAGGTTACTCCTGGTTGTAAATAGGTATACTAATGAAAGTATTATCTTAGTTTTTAAAAAATAATTTTATTTTAACAAAAGAACTTTTCACAGTAAATAAATGTAAATATTTTTATTATAATTAATCCTTGAAATATGTATCTTTTAAAATATTAACTAGTGATGTTATAAACATTGATTTTTTAATATTGAATTTAATGCTAACTAATATTTTTTTTTGAATTTATAGATCAGATGGAACCAAACACACATATTTTTATCCAAACTCAAACCAACGATTTTAAATATTTTTATCTAAATCAAACTAAACTTTTATAAGGTTAAAGGTTAAAAATTAAATAACGGCATTATTTTGAATAAAAAATCTGTTGTTTTTTGTAATGAAGTAATTCTGTCACATGTAGTGAACTGCATCAAACAACTATTCAGAATAGATAGAATAATATGAACGTGTCAGTTATTTATCTACATTCATTATTTTATGCCATTTGCAATATGCAATAAAATATAAATACAGGCAGCACACAACCGTTGACCAAAAAGACCTAAAATTAATTTTACCATTCTAACAATTTAGTTATTAATATACATGAGAATAAATTTGAATATCAAAATAAGAATTTTTATAGTCTTATACCTATCCTTGACTTGACTGAAGAAAAAAAATTAATACTTCACTCAGAATCCAAAATACTTATGTAATAATAGATACTATGATGAAAACTTACAATGTTAGCTACTGTTTAATATAATTTTGAAATACATTACAACGTATTAAATAAAAATATTTTACCACTTTGAATGAGAAAGTACACACTGTACTAGCAATTTTTTTTTAGAAACTTAAAATTAATAATTCCAATACAAAACGTAAAATTTAAATTTAATATTATTTAATCTAATATGTATGGTGTATATTACATTAAACACCAGTAAATTGTATGCATCAAGTATATACATATATTGATACTTAAAATGTGACTATCATAAGTAAATTTAATCATTTATACTAGAATGTAACATGAAGAATAAATAATCTTTAATTGCATTATGCCATCATTCTAAACAATTAAATTTTAATTGGACATCTTGTCTTAGAAGTTATAATCAATAGGTGCAAAACATTAACAAATTATAATATTAAATGATTAAATATTTTTTCCTTAAATTATTCTTTTTATCCCCTGAAAATGGAATACACAATTTGTCCACAGTCCACAGATTACACACTAATACACTATGTTTATAAGACTATCTATTACTTTGAAATATTTTGAGTGCTGGTTTGTTCACCAAAAACACCATAAATAGTAAAATAGATTTGTGAGCATATTATTACACATGAATGATTAATATAAAGTAACACATAACATGATCATTCACAATAATAATTCAATTTAAAATAAATACTAAAACCAGATAATAACATATAATACAAATTGTAATAAGGACAAACCAAACAAGTGTGCTCGACATAAAGCTATCAAATACTGAAGTAAATTTAAGCAAAAGAGTATAGCAACACTATTTTAATAACCAAATTCTTGATTTTAATAATTCAAACATTTATTGAAAAATTATGATGAATTTTTTAAGTCACAAATATTTTAACACTTAAATTTTAAAAAATTGATCAATCACATTAAAATCACTTACCATGTTCAGAATCACTTGAATCACTGGATGATGTTGAATAACTGGAAGAACTAGAATCAGAGTCAGAGCTACTTGAACTAGATGCAGATAATCGAGATGGACCACTAATTTCCGTAGCTTTAGCATCTGTAAAATTAACAAAAAGTTGTCAAGTAAATAAAACATGTACATAATTACATATAAATGATTATAGTTTATAAGGTAAATTTTTGAATTATAAAAATAGTCTCTATCATATAATTCTTAAAAAATCTCCAACAACATTTTACACTAAAATCGGTTTGTGCATTATAATATATCAAGACCAATATATATATAGGAAATAAGATATATGCACACAAAAAACTTATAAATATAATATAAAAATAGATCTATTAAATTACCTTTCTTGCCTTTTTTAGTTGACAGTTGCCCGCTAACGTCTAGTCGTTTATCTATCTCGTGTTTTTTCTCTCCAAGTTCTTCTTTAGGTTTTCCAGAAACTTTTTTATCTATAAATGTAAAATATTGATAAAACAATTGATTATACAAAATTAAGTTATTCTTTATTTTGCTACCAGTTTTAAAATAGTATAGAATACATTTGGTTTTAATATATTATATACACAGATTAGCAAGTAAAAAATAAATAAATCCCATTAAAAAAATTAAAAAAGGCAAACAAGTAAAGATAAAAGAAGAACCAGGCCAAAACCAAAACTTACTGGTGATCTTACGTGGTTTTTTTCTCAGACATGAAGCCACATAAGACTCAAGTTCCCGTAATGTTGATGGTTTAAGGGTCTCAAAATCAATCTCAATTTCATCTGGATTAGAGTCTCTGAGTGATGGTTCACGAGACTGGATAATATGTACTACTCTACCAAGTTTATCGCCTATAAATGAGTTTTTAGATCAGATTATTAATATGAAACAAGTAAATTTAATTTTTAATTTATAATACCTGGTAACTTATTGATATCTAAGCTCAACTGACGTTTTTCATCATAAGACATAGGCTTAGCATTGTCTTCATCTTCAGAGTCAAAAGCTGGGGCACTTACAGAATTCTTTTTCTTCGGATTATTTGCTCTGGAATTAACTCTAGGACGTTTTGGTTGTGCTGGAGCTTTAGCAGGACCTCTAGTACCGGCACCTTTACCTTTTGCCCCTTTGGTTGTTTGACCAGCTGAAGCATTTGTCATAGGATGACGCAACTGCTGAGCTGCTGATTTAGCATTCATCGATGGCTCAATTGGTAACATTTTAATATCGTTGGTAATGGTAGAGTTAGCCATAATATTCATAGGCGTACTATTGAGAGCAACAGCTAATGGAGGTTTAGACACAGATGAAGTTAATTTTTCATTGGTAGAATGTTTCTTCTTTTTAGAACTATTCATACTATTCTTTTTTTGTTTTTTCTTTCTTGCACTTTCTTCAACTAACCTTTTCATTTGATCTTGTAGAGCATTTAACTAAAATAATAATTAATAGTAAAATTAATTACTCAAATTTTTAAGTATTATTTTTATCTTTCATTTATAAATAAATATTTTTCAACTTCAGTATCTAATATTCTATCATTATAAATAACCAAGAATTAGCTTAAAACACATAAAACATGCATAATAAACATAACAAATGGTATATCAAATGACGCACATGAATAAAAGAACTCATCATATTTTTTCCAAACTAAATGTTTGTATACCTTAACTATATAGATTAAGACAATTTAATTACAATTTATAGTGATGATTGACCAACCAATAAATTAAATGTGTTCCAAATACAATTTCTGAACTAAATATATTTCTTTTCTAACTTTGAAATTATTAATAGTTCTAATATAAAAATAATAAATAATTCTAGGCCTAAACCAATACTTCAGAATTTATCATTTATATCACAACAAATATCTATGAACAAGATTAATTAACATAAAACATGTATTGAACTACTCAATAGCTAATCAAATGATGCACATAAAAATCATCACTTTTAAGTTTACTTAATAGAATTGAAAAAAATTAAATGTAAAAATCAGATTAAATAATTCATATCATTTACTAATGCCAAAAATATATTCAATTAACACAAAACATGCTAGTCAAATATTTTTATGGTAAATCAAATGACGCACATGAATATCATCATGAAAACTTATTGGTTATTACATTTTTATTCTGAAATGATAATGCATATTATTATGTTAAATTATATTCTCGTTTTTAAATTATTCACAATAAATAAAATGAAGGGAATAATTTGAGAGTCGTGATTTGTAAACTGAACAGTTAAAACTAAAAACAAAAATATATTATAATTTTTCTTAAATATTATTTGGAATGAATGAAGCACATTATTAACAGTTAAGAACATATCCATTGATATTTTCTAAAACTTAACTATTAATTTAATAATTTAAAAATTAAACTTAATTGGAAAAAAATGTTATACAGTACATTATTCCCATAGACCCTTCAAATTAAGTAATTTACAATATTTTATTTATAAATTAAATAGATTTTATACACAGTAGTAACATATCACAAATTAAAATATTTTTTAATTTGATAATAATTATTCAGAAACTACAAATTCTATCATAATAAAAACCATTAACCAGATCAACTAACATAGAACATGCATGATTGAACTTAGTATAAATGGTGATCAAATGACGCACATGAGTATACTTCATCATAATATATATAAATATAATAGTACATCAATATTGTTATAAAAAAAACTCTAGTCGGGGGACACTAAAACTGGCATGTGATCTCCGTTATATACTGACCCTCACCCTGTCAGCAGACAATGGTTCTTAATTTGTGGCATAGTGCGTGTAGCATGAAATATGTGTTTTAAAATTGTAAGCCAATTGATTTTAGAGGTTTGAAAACACAGATGAACTTACCACTAGATTTCACCCCACTTTTCATGTCCCACACTAAAGAGCATTAACTATTTACATATAAATATTTAAAAGCATTAAAATTAAGCCTCAAAAAGAAAGGAAAATTTTGAAAATGTCTGAATTGAATCCTAGTTGAATAATAATTTATGTGAATTGAGTCCAAACTTAAAATAAAAAAAATAAAAACAAATTTTTTAATTATATCTACTTTTATTTAAGTGTACAGTTTGATTTATAACCAAGGTGATTCTTTTATCATAGAATTTTTTGATATTTCAAAATCTATATACATTTTCAACAATATTTTCCAGTTGAAAGAAAATATATTTTTGTATTATCATTTTTAAAGATTTTTTACTTTTTTTTTTAATAACATAAATTTAAGATTTCATACTCTGAAGCAGAATACTTTTTTTCCGGGTATTTCAGAATAAAAAAAATTGTAATTGAACTAGATGAGTGATAAATATTTAGTTTAGGTAAGTGGGGTAGAGTGGTAATAGGATACTACTCCGTAAAACTTCGATCATTTAAATTTAAATACTTAAAATACACAAACTAATTGTTCAAATTTTGATTTTAATACATCAAAAATGCCAAAAAGTATATTGCTTTAAAATATGAAATTAAAAATATTATTAAATGTTAATAAATTTGAAATGAATATTCTTTGACAGATAAAAGAATCACTCTGTTTATATATGTCTACATTGCTTACATCTTTGTATAAAAACATAAATAAAAAAAATGTTATTGGAACAACTGAACAACTGTAGTCAATACCTAAATACCAACCTTTATGGAATACTTAATAATTATAATAGTCCATTTTTTTCCCTATAACTTAATTGCTCTTTTTTTCTAGGATCCAAAATTAAGTTTTTTTTTTAAATTTTGGGAACAATTCTTGATGTAATCAATTATTTTTCCAATCTATACTTTTTTTTTTTTGTCGTCTAATGATATTAAATGTATATACTATACTGAATATCATTAATAGAAAAAAATTAATATAGTCATTAATTACGTTTAAATATTCTAAAATCAAGGTAAACAAGCCCCATAATCTATATAATATATTAAATCAACTGCAGATCTTTTAAAAACATATTATTTTTTTTTATTATTATTAATATAAATGATTATTTAGTTATACTATACCCTAAAAATGTTATTTTATTAATAAATACTTAGTTACATGTAACATGGCATTTATTGTAAAAATACATAATTGAATATCCAAAATATTGTCATATAAACACTTAACTGTAAAGGATATATTAAGAACTATGTCGATTATTTAAACTCACTTTTTCTTGGAATTCTTGAATTTTTCTTGAATTTTCTAGATCTTCAGAATCATCAGAATCACTAAATGAACCAGAACTTCCTTCGGAACTACTTTCATCCTCAGGTTCCATTTTCATTTCTACTAAAGGTGGGTCTGGTGGTACTTTTGACATTCTTTAAATGATAAAATAATGTATTTAATACAATTATAATATTTAAGTATTTATAAGGAAGGAACTTACTTAGCTTCAAATACAGCTTGTAGTTTTTTTGCCATTGCTACTACATCATGATCTTTAGGATTGTATTTATAGCAATTGGAAAATATTAAATTAACGTCAGCTGCAAACTCTTTTGAATTTTTATACTCTCTGTTGTCTAATTTGGTCTGAAATCATAACATATATTATATGATATTTAATTCAATATTTACCTGAATGTTTCAAAGTTTAATTACCTTTACTGTTCCCAGGTCCATAGGCTTCTTAATAATGTCATGATAATCATGCAAGCCCAACCAAGCAGCATCAACTGGCTTGTAGAACGGCCATGCATATGCCTATAAAACCAGATTAGACATCAATCAGGTATTCTTTAAAATCCCATTTGTAACAAGCCTTAGGGGTATTACCGCATGTTTTTTGGTAAACAATTCTTTAAGCACTTCAGTACAACCCTTCAATGCCTCAGTCAATTTTTCTTTGGTTTTTCCGTCCTGATAATTGTATTACATTTTAAATTATAAAACTTTAAAAGTTCTTTTAAATAACAAAAAAAATTACTGATATTGAGCCGGATCCAGTAGGTAAAGTCGTATTTTGAGAATATAAAATTCCTTCATCGGGCACTCTCGGTTTTTTTATTTGTCGACCAGATTCCCTTCGAATAGATGATTGTAAAGGTTGAACAGGAGTTGTTGCTGTAGCCATTGGGCCAGGATAAACGGTAGAATCAATTGAATTGATGGGACTAGGATCTGCTTTTCTTTTAACTCCTTTTTTTAGTTTGCCACCAGTTAGTGAATTCGCTGCTCCTAAAGGTATGTTTGCTGGTTGCGCTACATAATCACTCGTCGTAGGAGCTATAACCTTAAAATTAAAAAAAAAAAAAAAACACTTAAAATATTTTGATGTAAATTAGAACATAAACTTAGTACTTAATATTTTTAGTATTTAACATATAATATTGATATAAGCATTTTAATTTAATTAAACTTGAATACATTTATATTTAAAAAATTCTATAAATACCTAAAAAAAATATATTAGGTCTTTTATTTTTTTAATAGTTTGGCGATAAATTTTTATGAGTAATAATAATAATAATAATAATGGTTGCTAAATATTAAAATTAATAATTATACAAAATTTACAATAATTTTTTATTAAACTTCTAAGTTAACATACATAAATTAAAATCCAAATAATTAATTAAAAATGTATTTTGTTTTCTTTACAATATATAATTAAAAATTCATAGCTGAATACTATATATTTAACATACTTGAGATGGTAGAGAATTATGTTGGGAATGAGGAGTGGTACCCATAGCAGTTGAACCGGGAGCTACAGCTATTGGTTGATTGTGACTGGGAGGAGGTTTCTGAGTAATTGAATGATTTTTGACAGCTGGTTTATGTTGGGGCAATACAGTTTCTTCTTTTACCATCTGACCCATCTATACAAATAAATTAAAATGCATTTATATAATTTATTAAAATGAACAATTATAAAATTTATCCTCACTTTGGCAAGAAATATTTTTTCCAATGTTTGAGCCATGAGAACTACATCTTCTCCAGGTTTATTGTATGTATAACAATTGGAAAACATTGCATTAATATCTTGTATGCATTCATCAGCACACCAATAGTAATTATTTTCTAAACGCTTTTTTATAGTACCCAAATCCATTGGTGTTTTGATTACTTTATGGTAGTCCTACAAAAATAAACAATACAATTAAAGGTAACAATAATTGCATAAAACATAAACAAGATTCATTACAGAACTATATAAATATTTAAGCTTAAACAAATAAAGGTGTACACCTAAATGGAATTTAACTGAAATCATAATACCTATACTTATTATGTTTATTAAGTTACATCATAATTTATAAAGATACTAAATTTTAACCTAACCATATTATATCACATATAAATCAACTATTTATTTTCTGATGACATTCCTAAATTTCACTTAACCTGATATTTTTTAATATAAATTGATTACATTTGAGTATGGATGCATATTAAAAACACAACTAGTCGAATAGAAAAAACAAACTTCCTCTATCATGCTACTTGCCCATAATATGTAGTAGACAGTAGTTTAAAAAAAAACAATTAGAAGCTGGATGTATATGATAAATACTAAATCATACCTTCCAGTCATGCTTTTTAACAGGCAATGAAAATAGAAACATGATATTATCAGCATTTTAAACTAAGATTATTTTTAAAACAAAAATTGAAAATTTATAAACTTTCCGATGTTCATAATATAACTAAAATTAATGAAGAACATTATTTTACAAATTCAATATATATACATACAATATCTATCTAAGTATATTTCTAGTAACAAGTTTGTGTACACCTAAAATATAATACACAAATTAAATTTTTAATTTTGTTTAAAAACTAAGATGTAAACAATGCTAATTATATTATATGCATTCAAAAGTATTTAAAAATAACACTGAATCCACTTGTAATAATTCCATCTTAGTAAGTAAAATATGAGATTAAGTACACCCAAAATTGTGTTGTTATCTTTAGTAGGTATAACAATCAAATTTAAAAATTAATAATATTATCTATGAACTTCCGAGGTTTTTATTGATAGTCAAATTTTAATCGAATTATGAGCATTATAAAGCTATAATATTTCACAAAGCAACTAACTTAAATCAATAAAATTAATTTTTAAATATTATTCTTACCTTTAAGTTCAATAAGTTATTTAATAATAAAGTTAATAACAGAAAATGTATATTTCTGAACACAAATTAACTACATAGTATGTTTGTAAAATTAAGAAAACACATAAGCCTGTATCCTCTTAATAGTTTCAAACTTAAGAAATACTACTAAGTGTATTACATTATAGATAATAATAAAAAATAAAACATACAGGTAAATTGAGTTTGGTGGTATCAACTGGCTGATAGAATGGCCATGCATGTTGATGTTTCCAAAGAGCCTTCATTACAGTCTTTTGAAGGAAATTAAGTTTGTTAGTGAGTCGGCCAGGCCGATTTGGTGGAGGTACAACTGGTGGTTGAACAATACCATTCACCGGCTCAATATATGGCTCAATTCGTGGTGGCGCAACCTCTCCACCGTCAGGTTTTGCATTTGCAGTATCCTATATTTAAATTAAAAAAATGAAATTTTAAGAAAACAAATAAACAATATTATTTACTTCTATAACAAAAGTATTTTTATGCACATAAAAAGTATAACAGTAAAATGTATGTACTTAATATTATTTTTTTAAATTCACCTACTTATAAATTTAACTCAATAAAAAACCAAACCCTTAATATTTTTAAATCTATAATTTTAAAGTTTTTATCAATTTTCTATAAGTTAAATACAGATATACAGATTATTTTTTTTCTATCTCTAAAACTTTTCTTCACTATTTTGAATAAAAATCTTAACAATTAAAATAGCAATAATTGAAACATTTTAAATGAAGAAAATGTTATAAATATAACTGTTTGTTTTATTAGTACTTAGTATGAACAAACATTTTGAATTTTGATTATTTTTATTCATTAAATGTATGTAATAAATCACCTAATAATTGTATTTAAACAACTTGATATAAGATTAATTACAAATACAAGCGCATGACATAGCAAATCTATGTTTAGCTTCATTATTTTTAATGATAGAATGGATTAACTTAATATAATGTAAGCTTATATAAATGTTTATGACTAGCTTAATATACAGTATTATCCTAAAAACTTACACACGATCATACAAACATTTCTTACCAAGTTTCATAACAAATTAATTTGCTTTAATACTAGCTATCAAAACTAAATATGAACTACTCATTATAGATTTTCCATGATATGCGCTTGTAAGACAGAAACAACAAATGTAAATACAGCGTCTTTAAGGTAAGTATACTTACTGTCGGCACACCACTATTTTGAGTTGAAACTGGCACCTGCTGCATATTGAACCCACTGAAATAATTTATAATTTAATAAATTAATAAGGATTATTTAATATTACATATATGAAGTGCTTGAAAATATACATTATACATATCAATTTTTTAATAAATTAAATAAGATAATACTATTCCGATTTAGACTAATACATTTGAATAATACATAATTACAACATAGACTTTCATTTATTATTAGTTCAATTAGCCTAATACTAACTAGGTAGCATATTTCAAATTGTTCCTACCAGCATCAAAACAAGATTTATTTCAATGTTAAAATGCATATAAATTTGGTACCTACCTAATCGAATCAAGCATAATACATAAATATAAAAAGCTATTTACCAAATAGACAATAGTATTCTTACTAAAACTTAAGCAACTGTAGAATAGGTATAATAGCATTTCTTCCAAATTCATAAGAATATTTTTCTATATTTTAAAATTACTATACTTTATTCATCTAAACAACCAAGAACAAAATCCTCCATTTAAAATAATATGTCTGTACAAAAATTTTAACAGAGTATACATCTGAATACCTCCTGTAATTCTAGACATTATCTCAAAAAGAAAAAAATTCAATCATAAACATTAGATTCAATATCAGTACCTAATTTTAAAACAGACAACACGCTAGTAAATTATATTGATATAGGTTACCCTTCAAATATAGAGTTCAGCTATCTAAAAATAATTAAAAATACAACTAAAAATTGTATATTATAAGTTTTAATTGCAAATATTTATTTTTCTTTCAAGAGAAATACAAACTTAGGATTTTTTTTATAAATCATTCAAAATTATATTTAAAAAACTAACAGCTATACTTAATATATTAACTTATACACATAAATTACGACAAAATGGATAATATAAATTTGTTGACGACAAATAAAAACAATAATTTACTGATGATCTTAATGGAAGAACAAAGATGCTCGATAAACTATGACAAAAACTAGGTACTAACACTATACATAATGAATAACAAAACTACCGAATAACACCACACGTACCGACCGAAACGATCAGTGTCCAGTCATGTTAATATTCACCGTGCTTGCCTAGATTCATGACGGATCCTGAAGACGGACGGTACGTGAGGGTCAACGTAAACCCAAAACGGATAGAAATTTGGGAATGAAAAAAAATAAATAGGATACAAAACCAAAACTATGGTAACTATCAATTACGACACGAGTGATTAGGCCATCAGAATCACGTCGGATACACCGGGGAACGAGACATCGTCGTCAGTACGGTTATCCTAACACAACGCACGACGGGGACAAAAACCAACACGGGGGATACCTGTTTGATGGGGCAAACTGAGCGGTGCGTCTGCGACGTTGCTGGTGCGGCGATGGTAGAGGCGAGTCAAAGCATTGATGTGACGTTGACGGGCGCGCACCGGACTTGGGCGCGAAAATTGATCAGAAAACACTGGAACGGCGCGATGGCGGCGTTTAACGCGAACAAAACACGCGCGTAAGAAACACTTACACCCATGTGTATCCGTTACGAAATAATAATATAATATTATAATATATTAATATAATACAACAATAACGTTATAATATAGTTTTTTATAAAATTATTACTATTATTTGTTTTGTTATTTATTAATAACCGCCGCGACCAGTAACTGGACGGCGGCCGCGACATGTACGTGGTGCGCGCCGCTTGTGTGTGTACGCGCGTTGCCGCGCTTGTGAATGCGTAGTGTGCGTGAGATGTATGTGTGTGTGTGTGCGTGTACGCGCGCTTTTACGGGTACTACGTGTATGCGCGTGTGTGTGTGTGCGTAAGCCGCCAATACAGTTAGCGTTATTTTACGGTTTTGGCGCTTACGCCGACATCAACATGGCGGGTACCCCGCGCCCGCCCCCCGACAAAAGACAACGCGGTTCCCCGGGGGGGTACCGGACACGATTTTTTTGGCGAACGTAAAAAACCGCGAGACATCCACCTACCTACCTCTACGACTAGACCTATGTAACTATGGCGTGTATTTTAAGGAGAACTCCAGGTCTCTAGCGCGCACGTTTTAACTGGCGCCTAGCACCTAACAGATAAACGTACCTTTCGACTGTGGCTGAAACATACATAAACGGTACGCTGGGGCTAATAACGTGAACGACGGCGGCGACAGGACGTGATGGTGGCGTATCGCGCGACAAACGACTTCCCGGCGGCGTCGAGGTGGTAACCCGACGGCGCGACCACCATTATTATCGTTTAATATATTTACGCCGTCAACGTCGTCACCGTTACTATTACTATTATTGTTATTGTTATTGTTATTATAACTGCGATCTGCGACGGCTACGGCTGCGGCTGCGGTGGCGGCGGCGGCGGTAACACGGCGCGTACTCGTCGGTTGCACGTCGACGTATTTCTCGTGTGGTTGACGGCACGCGCGCACGGGTGAAAACACCTATTCCCACTAATTCGGCACTACGCGGTCATTTCTCGAATGCCCACTGCGATCCCGGCTCATCGGCAATAAATTAATTTCCGTACCAAAAACGGAGAAACTCGCATATACGACCATTAATGCCCGAAAACTACCGACTAGCGGGCGGGACGGGGTGGTGTATTAGGATGCAACGTCCCCATTGGCCGGGTCGGGTCACGTGACGCGCATCATTACGATTCCGATCGATTTTCCGAGAGCTAAATCTCTTCGATTCCACCGATCTTTCTTAGGCTTAGATGCTCAGCCGTCGCTTTTGACCATTTGCGTACCAAGCCCAGAGCGTTTTTCTGCGTACGGGTAGTGTCTGTATTTTGCGGCGACAACCGTTCTATTGAAATGGTGAAGCGATTAAAGGGGAGAGAGGGCACCGACGCTCGTTTTTGCCCCGTCCGTCCGCTCAACGACGGAACCCGTTCATGGAGTAAACGCGAAATGTCAACAGTGGTCCCATTGTTTTGACCCACCAGTGCCGCCAACAGCGTGACCCCGATATTTAACGTATTTTTCCTATCATTGACAATCGTGATTCGTCGACACAATCATTAATCAGATACTACACGTCTACATATAATACGCATGACAATATTAATACTTAATAGTAAATTCAAAATATCATGACAATTCTATTCAAATTTCAAAATTTCAAATGTGTTAATTGTTTGTCGCTTGGTTAGTTAATTTTTGTTACTGAAATAAGTATTCATGATAATATGTTATAATCTGCTCTGTAAATATTGATTTATATTATAGCCGTTATTGAATTATTCATGTTTGGGACATTTTGAATTTACTCAGTGGGATAAATATTTTTAAAGGGAACGTCATACCCGTATTTGTTATCTCCTTCAAACACACGTGCACTTAAGTATAACAAATTTACTTGCCGAATTCTTACCAGTAGTAATTTTTAATGATTTAATTTTAAAATGAGTTATATCACTTAAAAGAAGATTAGAAGAAATAAGAAATGACTTAATTGATTCAAATTTTTCAAGTGTATTTTTCAACTATATACAACTTGTTTTAAAATAAAGATTTTAAAAAGAATCTTCCATTTTATCTATAGCCCTGGTAACATTATATTGTTTTTTACTTCATTGTTCGTTCCATGTTTCCGTGACTAAATAAATTAAAAATACCACTACATTAACCAGGCTATGAACATACAATATTATTAAATTTGTAATTGAGCTATCACTATACGAATTCTCCAGATCCAGACATCGAAAAGACAATTCCAATTGATTAATGTAGAGCAATAATAATATTAATTTATCATTCAATGTTTAAGCGTTTATTCCAACTTCCAAGTCTAGAAACGTTTCATGCTCAATGCTCACAAATTCACAGTATTAACTAATTAGTTATTGATTACTTAACCTTATTGATTTTGATACATGTTATTTTTTAGACTTCAAGTCCCAGGTCTGTAGTCCTGTTCGTACAATCATGCCTATAACTAGTATTATATATATATATATTTTTTTTTTTTTTTAATTAGAACTATTAACAATCTGTACTCATGGTACAATAATCTTATAAGATATTTGAATTATAATAATAATAGAATTAATACAAATCAATACAAACGAATACTTATATGTAACCCTATTATAATTTTACATGAAATCTTGAATTGAAGAAACTGTCCAGCAACAGCACTTCGGCGAGGAATTTTTTTTTTTAGTATTATATGAATTGTGAAACATTAACCTATGAACATTGACTCGTGACTTATAAACATAGATTAAAAAATTGTGACCTGTCATTCCATGACGATTAATACAGCAAATTAACGTTCAGTTGGACTAATTTATTGTTGTATTAGAGTATTATAATAGCACTAATAGCTATTTGAGTAATTAAACCAATTATTAAATTGAAACGTAAGATTATTCAAAGAATCTCATTAGATTATTTATATTTACATTTTGAAATGTACTATATAACATAATAATTATAAGTTGTTAACATCGCCCATGATTAAAGAAAAACTAAGTAGGTAATGCTTTAATGATAGTTATAATTCACTTTAAAACTAAAACATCTATAAAATTCTATCAAGTACGAAATATTTTCAATAATAGATTTATCTAATTATTATAATTTATGATCATACCCTTTAATTAGATAATAGGTAGGTCAATTCTCTCTAATATTAAAGTTGACAACTTATAAATGTATTTATAAATTATATTTATAGATAATTATTAATGATTGTATGTCAGACGGAGACAACTGTATGCGGGTGTGGCCTATAAACCATATCTACAATGTCAATGAGCCAAGAGGTACATGGGGACTGATATCGGTGATTTTCTTTCATTATCGAACTATCATTATCATTCACACAATAAAGTAATTTTAACGTGTTCTATTTTAAACATATTACGAATTTATCTATTTAGTGTTATTCTGATGAGCAATAGAATTTTTGAAAACGAAATTAAATTTACCTGTTTAACTGTAAGTCTGCTTGATCACTTTTCCCTTCATTTTAGATTTTAATTCCCTAAATTCTTAAAAGATGGAAATTGAAAATCTGTCATATTTCTATTTTAGAAAAAGTTTAAAAAAAAAAAAAATAGGAGAATCGATCTTTGAAAAACTTTAATCAATTCAAATCTATTTTTAGTTCTTATCCCTTCATTAATTTTAATTGGTATGTTGGAAATGGAACAATTCTAAGTTATAAATACCTATTATGAACTTATTCAACAGAGACAGAAAATAATTACTTATAATTCTTTAAAGTTTAAATGATGTTAAAATTAACTATTTTTTAAAAAAATTAAGACAATTTTTTAATAATATTACAAAGTGGCCTTAAAATAGGCTGTAGTTACCAAGAACTAACAAAAAATCAAATCAAATCATTTCAACGATTAAAAAATATTACGCTTTCGTCTAGTAAGCCAGAATTTTAATCTTTTTTTTTTTTAAAGAACTAAAAAAATTTAATCAGATTGACTATTGAGTCAATTTTTAAACGTCATGAAAATGCACTTCAAAACGTTCAACAATTTATAATTTTTTATTATTGTTTATTATGACTTCTGATAATAAAGTTTCTAAAATTAAAGTCCGATGGAATTTGTGTTTTTCATATTAATAATAAAAAATAATTTATCAAATTCTAATTATTCTAAGTTGTGATTTGTAAAAGTTTTTCCTATATAAATACATATTATTTGGTTTATTTTAATGACCTGTGTTATTAATTAGTATTAGTTTGCACACATTAACCTTTTAACACGTTTGTATAAATATATATTTTAGGTTTAAATAATAAAGATTCAACTCATTTTCGCATATCTACTTTTTTATAATTCGTTTGAGCACAACTCCACATTTCTCTTATCACTTAAATAGGCTTACCGCTAGGACTATCTGTTATACACAAGCGTGATTAAAAATGTATAATATTATGTATGTGTTTGTTTTAAATAAATATGTAATTATACTATTAATAATTAGTAATAGTAGTCATTAGTTCTAATATTATATACTGCTAATTAAATTAATAAATTTTACAATCCTAATTTTGAATGGTAATATTAAAGTCCTATTTTCTTATATTTATGTATGTTAAACGATCAAAAGTTTTATTTTTATATTCATTTAAGATATTTTTCTATTGTATCTCTTTATTAATTGTCTTTTTTATTTTATAATTTCAACGATTATGTCGATTACTGATGTATGTATGAAGAATGTAAAACAAACTTTTACAATTTTTATGATACTTTTTATATATATACCTTGATTATCTTAAGAGTTAAGACTATTAATAGGTTCACAGCCCATAATGTCGGAGGAAAATTTCTATCCGATAAAATGTAAGTTTTTTAAATATAATCAGAAAATATATAAATAATACTGAACTTTATACTAGACGTGTTATCAATATAAATCGCCAAATCCATCTAAAACTTCTTTTAAGGATTAAATTTAATAATCTAATCCAAAGAAGTATTTTATCTGTATGCTTATTTCAGAAATACTATTTAAGTCTACGCATTCAATAATATGTTGTGTTGTTTTATATACCTATCCAAACTAATTTTGTCCTAGATGAAAATTACAACATGTAATTTCGCAGTTAGGGAAAAATTGCAATACAGCATTATGCACAGTTTTTTCAAAATCAACATAAAAATTGCTTAAATTTATTATTTTACTAGTAATATTAATACACATATTTTGTAACGTTTTCCACATATACTGATGTAAATGTCAGTATGATTGTTTCTTAAAATACAAAATTTCACAGAAACATAAAAATTGTTTATATATAAGTTAATAGCAAAAAGTTAAACAAAACATTTCTGAGAATATCAATATATCCTATATCCTCAAAATCGTGATATGCGCTTTGCAGCAATTCTAATTTTTTTATATGTAAATATAAATAGATTTTCATAATCCATTTTATAACAAAATAAAAATGAATGCCTTATAAGTAAGATTATACTGAACATCAATAATTAAATGTTTTTAAGGATTTTCTAGAGATTAAGGTAAGTTTGGAAAGGATTTTTTTTCGGGTTTCGTGTATGGATTTTTGAATTAATTTCATATCGTTAGATTGAAAATTTTCATAGTATCAACTATCAGTATTTTTATACTGACTAAATTAATGACTTATAAGTTTAATTTTGCTTTATGTGTAAATCATTTTTAGCTCTATTTTTTTAATTACTTCCTTCTACTAGGATTACTGCTCGATTAATAAAATTGAACAGTTGTCTTATTCTCAATGATTATGTTTATTTATTATTTCTTTAAATTTGAATTAATATACTGACCACAGCATTTGGGAACATTTTTTATTTGTACACCTTTAATTTATATCACCAGATTTTAAAATTCAATATTCTCTAAATTTTTAAATTATAACTATACACATTTATACACTTTTAACCTCCATTCTTTCAAAAATATTACAAACTTTAATATCCATCATAGTCAGTAGTGTAATTATAGTATCGTTTGCTGGAGAACAACACTTAAAAGTTTGAAACTACCTACTTACCTTAGCTATCTATAATATGTTTAATATCCAACGATTATTTTTGATATGAATATAGACTACTATATTATATAGTACTCTACTAATGATATATATGTATTATTAAGTAATATTATATTGCTGATAATTTGTACTGATTATTTGTATCGATAATTCTATTACC